TATTATTATTATTATTATTATTATTATTATTATTATTATTATTATTAAATCTTTAGTGAAATTCACAGAATTTGGGACTGGTTGGTAGCTCAACAGTTCGAGTCCTAAACAAGAACCTAGGAACTGTTCAGGTAGCGTCAGAGGATATAAGCTGTTCCAAGTAGGGTGGGTTTTTTGTAGAATCAGAGTATTCAAGTCTGAGAAATTCAGGATTTCCAAATAGCGAGAAACAGCCCTTTAGGTATTGCTCCAAGGGCTCCAATTAGAATAACACGCGATTTCTTTTTCCAAAGTCGCTTAATTTCAATTTGTAAGTCCCGATACTTTGTGATTTTTTCTTGCTGCATGTCTACAACTCATGCATCACCAGGTATTGTGATGCACGAATTGCAGACACGCAGCAAAAAAAGAAAAAAATCACAAAGTATCGGGACTTACAAATTGAAGTTGTTATTGTTGTTGTTATTATTGTTGTTGTTATTATTGTTATTGTTATTATTGGTTAATCTTTCATGGGATTCACAGCCTTTGGGGCTGGTTGGTAGCTCAACAGCTCGAGTCCTAACCAAGGACCTAGGAACTGTTCAGGTAGTGTTGGAGGATATATTATTTGTTGCACACTCAGCCAGATGTTCAGACTGGATTTGGCATTTTTATCTACCTACTGAGGAGTCCTATTATTATTATTTCATATTTTGGCTATAGTAACTTTGATTTACTACACTGCTACAGACAGTATGTTTTGTCGGCACACATTTAGAGTCTGGTGATTGAAGGGTCTTAAAACCACTTGCAATAAACAAAACAATGCATTTAGGAGGAAGACAGGCAGACAAACAGAATGCAGGAATATGGGAGGGAAGCTTCTTTCCCCAAGGAGCTATTAGACAAAACAACTGCCTTCCTTTAAAAAAAAAAACTACTTCAAATCAGCAAGGATAAAAGATTTAAAGCACATCTGCAAATGGAAAACTGAACTTAAAAGAGAGGGAGGGAGGAGACAGAAAAAGAGATTGAGAGAGAAAGAGAGATTGAGAGAAAGAAAGCGAGGAAAAGAGATTGAGAGAGAGAGAGAGAGAGAGGGAGGGAGGGAGGGAGGGAGAGAAAGAAAGAGAGAGAGAGAGGGAGAAGAAAAGAAATTGAGAAAGAGAGAGGAAAAGAGGTTGAGAGAGGGAGAGGGAGGGAAAGAGATTGAGAGAGACTGCGAGAGAGATTGAGAAAGCGAGAGAAAGAGATTGAGAGGAAAAGAGTGAGAGGGAGAGAAATAGAGAGAGAGAAAAGAGAGAAAAAGATTGAGAGAGAGGGAGAGAGAGAAAAAAAAGAGGAAAAGAGATTGAGAGGGAGAGGGAGAGGGAGAGAAAGAAAGAGATTGAGGAAAAGAGAGAGAGGGAAATAAAGAGAGAGACTGAGAGAGAGAAAGACAAAGAATTTAAGAGGGAGGGAGAGAGAGAAAGAGGAAAAGAGATTGAGAGAGAGAGCGATTAAGAGGAAAAGAGATTGAGAGAGGGAGGGAGGGAGAGAGAAAGAGATCAAAACTCACAGCCGCCACTGAAGCCTGCGGCGCAGAGTTCCTAGTTGCTATGAATGTGGAGCACGTTCCTGTTCTCTAGTTTATGAGGTATGAGCCTGCAGCTTGCGTTTGATGCGCAGGTAATACTATGCGGTATTGTCTGCCATAAGTACCCAGCCACTGTGAGAAACCGGTTGCAATCACAGGGCTGCGTGCACGAGAGGCTACACTTTTGATCCTGCCCAGAGTTCATTCTGTCTCACTCCGCTAGACACGCAGAGGACCTCTAACCACTCCTCTTCCTAACCCACCACATGGAACTGTTCACACCACAAAAGGCCCCTGCGTTGGGGTGTGGACTTCTAGATAGGGCTGTACGCAGCGGTACGCAGGGGTTCGGGAGAGCCCCAAGCTAAGATTCGATGCATTTCGGAGAACCCCCAAATCCCACTTCTGGCTGGCCCCACCCACCCCGCCCCACTCCTCCTAGGAATCCCCAGGAGGCCCGTTTTGGATGCAGGTAAGTGCAGGGCATGCCCTGAGGCTTGAGGGGGGCAAAAAACAGGGCCTACCGGAAGTTCAGGAAGGCCAGAAATGGGCCTGTTTCCAGCTTCCAGAGCGCCTCCGGAGCCCAGGGAGGCCGTTTTTGTCTTCCAGGAGGCTTAAGAAAAGCCTCCGGAGCCCGGGGAGGGTGAACCCCCACCCACCCACCATGGTGAAGGCCAACTAGGCCATGCCCATCATGGCCACGCCCACCCAGCAACCAGGTAGAGAACCCTTTGCAAAAAATTTTGAAGCCCGCTCCTGCTTCTACCGTGTTTCTCCAACAATACGGCCTCCACCAATAGGAAGGGCCAGCATGTTTTATCAGCATAAAATCAAATTAAGCCCCTCCCCCCCCCAAATTAAGACCTATATTAAACATGCGAAATGGGGGGGGATGGCGGGGGGGGGGCTTGCCGTTAGGAAGTCGTTTTGTTGCATACCCGGATATGGTGCTGCCTGCGTTGACTTTGGCGTTGGTGGGGCATTTCGTTTCAGGAGACCTTCCTCCACCATTGCTTTCCCTTCTCCCTTGCTGCCGCGGCATTTAGAGCAACGCCGCGGCATTTGGCGCAGCCATGTGCAGCCAGCCAGGGCTCCTCCCTGCAACCGGAGCCCGGCGGAGACACTCGGGTTGAGGCGCTCCTGTCGCCGCCTTCCCTTCACCTTCAAAGGCAAAGCCAATTCTTTTAAAAACGACGCCCTACTACTGGTACGACAAAGCCTCCCCTGCCTGAGAGGGCAGCCCAACCCCACGTGGGGAGGCAAATCTCCCGGGGCCTCAGCACAGGATCGGCCCACCCCGGGAGAAGCACCTAGCCGCCATCCCTGCCTGGCGCCGGGCAGAGTGCGAAGAGCTTCGCCTGGGGCGCCCAGCGCAGCTGACAGGCGGGCCCTCCTGCCCGGCGGCGGATCTCTTGCCAAGGCAGCGAGCGCCTCCCTGCTGGACCCTCTGCTCATCCCATCAGGGCCGCGCCAGAGCTGTGCGGGCTGGCAGAGCCGGGAAAGCGAGCTACGGGTGTGCGCCCGCCTGCCAAGCGAAAGAGCTGGGCTGACCCAAGCTTGGGCGCTTCTCCCGAAGTGGGCCGATCCTGCGCTGCGGCCCCGGGAGATTCGCTTCCCCACGTGGGGTTGCGCTGCCCTCTCGGGCAGGGGAGTCTTTGTTGTTGTAGGGTGTCATTTTTAAAATAATTGGTTTGACCTTCGAAGGCAAAGGGAAGGCGGCGACAGGAGCGCCTGAAGCCGAGTGTCTCCGCCGGGCTCCGGTTGCAGGGAGGAGCCCTGGCTGTCCGCACGTGGCTGCGCCAAACGCCACAGCGTTGCTCTAAATGCCGCGGCAGCAAGGGAGAAGGGAAAGCAATGGTGGCAGAAGGTCTCCCAATACGAAGTGCCCCACCAACGCTGAGGTCAACATCCAAACTGTCGCTGCCCGCCCACCTGAGGATGCAAGGGGGGGGGGGGGAGGAATTAAGTCACCCCTGAAAAGACGGCCTAGCCGTTTTTTCGGAGGTCAAAAAAATATAAGGCTCGGCCTTATTTTGTGAGAAACACGGTAGATATAAATACTGAGATTTTCTCAATATTTCTTTTTTTAAAAAAGTGTTCCAAATCAAAGGCCAATCTCCATCAGTCCTTGAGCTAGCTTTTCAAAAGGCGCCATTGTGTTGATAATGGGGTTCTTCAAGGTTATCTTTTAGGACACTCAAGACAATAGGCATAAAACTCTCTTCGCCTACACACACAGACAATCAAACAGGAGAGAGCAGTGAAAAATAATCAAACATTTGTTTGGAGGACTGACCTGGTCTGGAAGAACGCAAGGGGCTACAGATCATGGGCTCCATTCCCAAATCTTGGAACAATATAGAGGTCCTGTAAAAGACCAAAAATATATATATATATCCATCCTATGATTTTCTGGCGTGTGAGAAACAGAACAAGGCTAGACAACAGCCCTGAGGAATAATTTAAGGCAATCAACCTTGGCCACTCAACCTTGGCTACTTGAAAGTGTGTGGACTTCAACTCCCTCGTGCTCCCCAAAGCTGGCTGGGGAATTCTGGGAGTTGAAATCCACACATCTTCAAGTCGCCAAGGCCAAGAAATACTGATCTAAGGATTAGAAAGAACAGGACCAAAACTGGACTCGCTGTCAAACCTGCCACAATTCTGAATAAAAATGATCCTTGGCTCCATTTGTTGAGAAAGGCATAGTTTATTAGAGATCAAATGGATTGCATTAGTGCAATTAATTACTGTTTTTGTAACCTCGGTCAAAGAGTAGTTTGGTATGTGGCCTCCTGCTTCCCCCAGCTGAGTGACCTTGAGGGAGCAACTTAAGGAGATACAACAGTTACTTTCATTTCCCCAAGCATTCCTCCCTTGCCGTAGTTCATGGCAGTCTGTCACCCACCCAAACATTCCCCTCTCCCAACAGTTCGTGTCAGTCTGTTACCCCATAGTAGTGGAGTACAAGAAAGCGTAAGGCGGCAGCAGGTACAAGTTCCCAGTTCGAACGCACCCTTTAGCATTCAAAGGGGACAGCCTTATTTAGAAAGATCAGGTTTCTAGACCTTATGGTTACACAAGGGAGCAAAAAAGCTCGGTAAACTGCCCCAGCTACTCCATCGCATCTTACCCATCATATGCATCAATCCGGACGCAGCGGCTTCCGTTCCAAGTCCAAGCGCAGTAAGGATCCTTGGCGAGAATACAGTCGGAACACGTCCGGTACTTGCTGCAATTAGCCACGGGGACCTGGATGACTTGTGTGTCGGAGCCAATAAAAAGGACTCTCTGAGGACAGAAAAGAAGGATTACAGGTCGTCCTTGCTTAATGACCGATCACTTAAATGACTGCTCAAAGTTATGATGGACCCCTGAAAAGATACTTGGGGTTGGATTCAACATTTTGATAGCTGACCCCCATCACCGCAATCATCCGTCCCAATGTGGTCCATTAGGAAAGAAAAATCCATATTTAGCCAAAAGTACCGCATGCTTTACTAAAGTTAGAAGTGGTTGCAGAAGAGGCAACGCCGGATCTGAGATTTTCGCGCGCAAAGGATATGCTTCACTTTCCCTTGCTCCTGGTCAACCCCCTTGGTTATCTATCAATGTCCAATTAGTTGTTCACAAATTACTGGGGAAATGGTCCCAGTCTTCTTTTTTGTGACCTTGAGACAGATGGTACTTCTCATGGGACAGTCTGGCTCGGTTTCGTCCCGTCCCATCCCTGATGTCAGGCTGTCAGCTTGCTAAGGTGTGTCGCTCAGTAGAATGGCAAACATGACATGATCGCAGTTTGGGCACTCAGCTGGCTCAGCATCCCATGTGACCATGATTTAGAGCTGTGGAAGCGCAGTGGTCAGAGTGCGGTACTGCAGGCTACTTCTGCTGACCGCTTGCTGGCTGCCTGCAATTTGGCAGTTCGAATCCCACCAGGCTCAAGGTTGACTCAGCCTCCCATCCTTCCGAGGTGGGTAAAATGAGGACCCAGATAGTTGGGGGCAAGAGGCTCTGTAAACCGCTTAGAGAGGGCTGTAAAGCATTGTGAAGCAGTATTTAAGTCTTAAGTGCTATTGCTATTGTCCTTCCTTCCTTTCTTCCTTCCTTCCTTCCATCCATCCATCCATCCATCCTTCCTTCCTTCCTTCCTTCCATCCATCCATCCATCCATCCATCCATCTATCCATCCATCCAGTATTGCAGGCTGACTCTGCCCACTGCCAACCGTTTGATCCTGACTGGCTCAAGATTGACTCAGCCTCCCACCCTTCTGAGGTGCATAAAACGAGGACCCAGATTGTTGTGGGCAAGAGACTGACTCTGTAAACCGCTTAGAGAGGGCTACAAAGCATTGTGAAGCGGTATATAAGTCTGAGAGCTATTGCTATTGTCCTTCCTTCCTTCCTTCCATCCATCCATCCATCTATCCATCCAGTATTGCAGGCTGACTCTGCCCACTGCCAACAGTTCGATCCTGACTGGCTCAAGATTGACTCAGCCTCCCATCCTTCTGAGGTGCGTAAAACGAGCACCCAGATTGTTGGGGGCAATGTGGTGTATCCAATAAATTGCTCTTTGAGGAATCTACCTGCCTCGGAGTTCTCCTTTCAATGGGTGAGGTGGAATGCTGACACCCAGACAGTGCCTTAGCCTGTTGGGTGACCCAAAACATCACATTAAACCAGTTGATTCACTTGGGTGCAGCCATGTGAGGGGGAACTGAACCATTTTGCTAAGCCACCTTGGCCTTGGGCACAGCATATTCTGTGAATCTGGGTTCTCGGCCGCGCCTTCGCAGTTCCTGACAAGTAACTTTCTCCTCTTCTTCAGTGGCTTTTGTTCCACCAGATCCTTATCACCAACAGGCGCCTTTGCATACCAATGATCAGAGATAAGATAATGGGTTTAATCTGCTGCATTCATTCTGGGTTGGGTTGGTGAGCCCTGGGAGGAAGCATCAGTGCTATCTGACATTTCAACTTTATCTTAGGTCTCAATTTTCCCTAGGAGTGTCTGCAGAGATCCACCATAACACCTCAGGGGTGTGTCTGAAGGCATCATCACGCAACCACAGCCGCTGTATTTCAACTTCTTGGTAAATCTGGTGCGACGAAACTCGTGGCACATGCGCCACGACATCTCAGTGCACAGGTCAGCCTACCAGCTTCCCTCCTGAGCCCCACCTGCAGATCTTCCATTTTCCCCCACAGCACCAGGACTTCTGATTCTCCGGGTGGCCGAAGACTAAGAATTCTGGAAGCTTTGAATTCTGGAAGACGAAGAATTCTGGACCATTCTTACCTTTGGGACAGATAACACCAGGCTCTTGATGGGCTGAGCTTCCTCAAAAACTTGCAGTTCTTCTATGAGATGGACACCTGAAGACAAGGCCACCGCCTTGTGCAACCAGCCATTCTCTGCACAAAAACCAGACCGGGAGACAATTCAGTGACTTTTAAGAACCTTCCCCTCCCTTAGGAAAGTCCATCGCTTGGTGGAAAACACCAGCTTTGCGTACAGAATGTCAACCCCAGCATCTCCAAGAGGGCTGAACAAGTTCTCTTGAAAAAGGGCACCCCACTACTTCACCCAACCCCTCACCCAACCCCTCCCACAAATTTAAGGCATTAGCTACCACTTGGACCCAACTACGTTGTGATCTACCAGGTTTGACCCAGCTAAGAGAGGCGTGGGTATCGAACAGAGAACAACAGGACAATTTTGAAATTGCAGAGTTCGATTCAGATGGCTCTTTAAATGCTCTGAGTAAACAAACATCCCCCTTTCATCCTGTCTTTACCAGATACATCCAATTCCCACACCGGCCTCGTAAATGGCACTTAGGGTGCTCCCATCCTTCCAAATGAAGGCAGTTCAGCTTCCCTGCATCCAAACATCGGTCATAATTATTGCATTGCTCGGCAGACCTAATCTATGTTGGCTTCTCTTTAGAGACAGCGGCTTTTTTTTTTTTTTTTTGCAGTCCAGCTAGATGAAACGCAGGAGGACCGGGTTTCAAATGAGCTGTTGGGGTTATTGCATTTTTTTTTTTTACTTCTCTGCTTTGCTGTTCCTTTTTTCCCCCTCCTGCTTTAATCACTTTCTGCTGAACGCATCAAAAGAAGGATTTGTTTATTAAAAAAAAATCAGCTAAGTGGTTTAGAAGAAGCAATTAAAAAACAGCGCTGCCGACGGAATATACTCCTTGATGAAGAGTGTTGTGATTTACTCACTTTGAAATTGCTAATAATAAAAATGGCAGAGGAAAAGAGCTTTGTCTCCAAAGGGGCATTTCACGCTTGGTTGACAAAACAGGAGGAGAAGAAAAAAGATCTGTCGTCCCACGAACCCTTCTAAAATTTTGTCTCCTGTCTCTGATCAATTTTTTTTAACTAGCAGAACTTAAGGGAAAATATCTGCCGAAGGCTGGCAAGATAAATGCAAACTATTTCTCCGATTAACTTTTATGAGAGAGTCAGCAGAAGATACAGGAAAAGAGGGGGGGGGGGGGCAAGAGGCTGACTCTGTAAACCGCTTAGAGAGGGCTGTAAAAGCACTGTGAAGCGGTATATAAATCTAAGTGCTAAGTGCTATTTCTAACTTCCCTCAGCTCATACCTGTCCCGATGTACAGCACTTCGTACGGTTTGCCATCCAACCCGTGAACTCTTTCCACCACGAGCTGGGTGAAGTTGGCATCCTTCTTGACCAGCAAAGGCTGGTTGCCATGCGGGGGCACGGCCTTATCCATCAGAGGATGCTTCTTCGCAAAATTCAGGGTGTTGTCTGGGAGCTCCAGAGAAGTGGAAAAACTGTTGTAACGGTGCCAATCCGTGATACACTGGAACCAAAAACGGACAAGAGAAGCTGGATTTAGGTTAGAGCTTCAAGTATAGAGACTTAGCAAAAACTTATCAGTTCAAGAGGATGGGTCTCCCTGACAGGGATGGCCTAGAAGATGTGTGTTCTGATCCAGCTCTCCAAACACGACAAAACCTCTGAAGTTAACTCAAAGATTCCTTTATTAGGAGCGCCAGGCAAAAAAAAATTCTCTCACTGGAGGCTAACAAGTCCGTCTGGCCGGGAGATGAATAGTTGTCTGCCACATCTATACATATCCGCCCCCTGCCCTTTATCCCTAGAGCTAGGGTGGGGTTTCGCTAGCAACAGTGGCTCTTCCTTCCCAAGGACCGGCTCATAGATTTCCACTGCTCTCCTCTCCTCTGCCTTCTGTGTGTCAGGCACTGGACCCAGCGGTTCCTCCTCTTCCTCATCAGCCACCTCCAGACCTCGAGGCTGTTGACTCTCCATCTGAGGGCAGACGGACGGCCCAGGCTCCACCCCTCTCTCTTTCTCTCTCTGCCAGCTCCACTCCTTCTTCTCCCTCCGAGCTCTGAGGTTGCCTTGATGCTCACCCTGACTCCCACGCCTGCTCCTCATCTGATTCGGCTGTTGGAGGGGGCCAGCAGCCGACAGGCCACAACAAAATGTGATTATCTAGGGCCGTGTTTTTCAACCTTGGCCACTTTAAGATGGACTTCAACTCTCGGAATTCTCCAGCCAGCAATGGGGGGGTGAGTGGGTACCTGCCTTGGTGGGGAAATGGGACTTACGGCGCCTGGACGGGGAACGGGTTCCTGGTCGGAGTAACGAATCCACTTCTGAGCAATTTCACTGTATTCCTTGTAGGGACCTTCGAAGACTTTCTGCACATCCAGGATCTGGTACTGGCAAACGGCAGAAACATCTACGTCACCCCTGCAAGAAACAGAAAGAAAACCATGCAGTTGAGAGTTCAAGTTTGCCTTGATGCTGATCCTGACTCCCACTCCTGCCCCGATTTGGCTGCTGGAGGGGCCAGAGGCCAACAGGCCACAATAGATTCCTTCACAGCCTTAATGCAACACAAGTTTCAAAGGTATTGTGGTCCGCCGGCAGCCTGCGGAGCTGATGGCAGAGTCGGACAGTGGGGAGGAACATTGGGCAATCCGGGAGTCTGGGGAGGACTCAGACAAGAGTCCTGCATATGACACAAAGATGGGGCCAGGGCCATCTGAGAGTTATGTGCTGACTCTGGAGCCTCCAGAATCTGACAGCAGCGAGGCAGATGAACATGGGGAGCCTGTTCCCAGTGCGCGCGTGCGCAGAGCTGCCAGAAGGCAAGAACAGTTAAGCCAAAAGGGGCAACTCGGGAGTAAGGTTTGGAGGTGATTGGCTCCTCCCATAAGACGTAAAGGAGGAACAAAGGGACAGGAGCCTTTGCAGGAAGCAATGTCGTTTGCTCTGTTCGGATTAAACCTTGAAGCACTGTGTGGACTTTGTACTCTGGTTAGCTTTTTACAGTTAATTTGACACTCTAGTTGTTGGCAGCAATTCAAAGGAGAGAAAGGTGGGTGCTTATCTCGAGGGACTGTTTGGGACTCATTACGGGCTGGGAATGAACATAATTCCCAGCGTTGAAATAAAACAAGAGTTGTTTGGACTAAGCGTGTGCTTAATTGCAGTCTCAGGAAGCCTTGGTCAGGACAAAAGGGGAGGTGAATCCAGTGGTGTCTCCTGCTTAAAATAATCTGTAGCCAACGTTCAATTTTATTGGCACTGTTAGAACAAAAGGCCGTTGGGCTGCTGTTCTCTGAAAAATCCTGTTGGGCCTTACCAGCGTGCTTGGAAGACCCCGAAAAAGCTGGTCTCACGCCAGTGATCGCCATTCAGTGTGTAGGTCCCCTGGATCCGATTGAAGTGCAGCTGCTGTTCTGGAATTGAGCACAGCAGCCGGGCCTTCAGAAATGTCGTCCATCTTTTCTGCAAAGTACGGGCACCGCCAACATCGCCCTGCACCAACCGAAAAGAGAACGGCCTTTGAACAACTTAATCTCCCCTCTGTGTTACCCTGATTGGCCTTGAGATGCTATCTTCTCGCCCTTGAGTTCCCAACCAGGAGCGCCTAACTGCAATTCCCACGCCAACGTCTAGAGGGAACATGAGGAAAGACTGTAGGACAGTGGTGGCTAACCTTTTGGGGCTCCTGTGCCGCTAATTGTGCGCAAGGGAATGCACGCGGGTCCTTCCCCACACCCCCTGCACATACGTGCACCCCCTGTGCCTCACGTCTCTCCCACACACCCCCACCCTCCATGCATGCGTGCCAGATACCTAACAATCAGCTGTCGGGTGCACAGTAGACCTGCTCTGGGCAAGGGCTCGCGTACTGGCAGTAATGGCTCTGTGTACCACTTCCAGCACACATACCATAGGTTCGCCATATGGCTGTAGGACGTCATCACTGTATGTTACAGGAAGTCCTTGACCGACAACCACAACTGAGCTGAAAATTCATGTTACTAAGCGAAACAGTTGCTAAGTGAGCTACGCTAACTCCCCAAGTTTTGTTCAGAAGTCCTTCCAGTCCTCAGAAAGAGAAGCGCCACTGCCTACCTTGCAGATCCGAGCCACTCGGGCTACCACCTGGTCAATGTCGCAATCATATTCCACCGCTCGCTCGCTGAAGAAAAAGTAAACTTTGTCATCATCTCCGATATCGCTTCCTTTGCTCTCCTGGACGAATGCCGAGCCCACGAAGTGGGGTTCTGCAGAGACAGAGGGTCGAGATAAATACAGTGTTCCCCCCCCCCGAAAAAAACAAGACCCAACCGGAAAATAAGCCCTAGCATGATTTTTCCCTACCCCAAAAATAAGCCCCAGTTAAGAGCCTCAGCCAGACGAATGCATTTAATACCTTATTTCCTTGAAAATAGGTCCTAACTAGAAAATAAGCCCTAGCATTTTTCCAGGATGTTTGTAATGTAAGCCCTACCCTAAAAATAAGGTCCAGTTAAGAGCCTCAGCCAGAAACACACACATATATATATATATATATATATACCGTATTTGCCGGCGTATAAGACGACTTTTTTGCCCTGAAAAAGATGCCTCCAATTGGGGGGGTCGTCTTATATGCCGGGTCGTCTTATACGCCGGCAAATAGTAATTGGGAAGCACTGCAGCTGCCCGCGGCTGAGGCACTTTTGCGCACCGTGGAAACGAATCCCGTGAAGCCGAAAGGAGCAGCCAGCCTTCTCCCAGCTCCCAAGGAAACGAGGCTCGCACCGCCCG